GAAAGAGAGAGAGAGAGAGAGAGAGAGAGAGAGAGTCTTTGTTTTTATAAAGACAAGAGCACCAAAGCTGCATTTTGTTTGTAATTCAGGAGTCCTCAAAATGTTATCCTAGCTCAAAAATGGCATTTATCTTCTATTCTCTTGGGAATTGATTGAATTCTTCCTTTACTTATGTAAAAAAGGGCTTAGCACCTGAAAGTGACGAAACTAATCTTGGTCTCACATATGGATTCAAAGTCAATGTGGCATTTCTATATTGCCCAAGATTTTGCCTCAATGGGAAGTGTGTCTGTGGGTGGAAGGTGAAGGGTAGTTGGAGAAGAGACAGAATTATGTAGAACTCAGAATTTTAGATCCTTAAGGAACTTTAGAAATCATCTAATCTAACCTCTGTACAACCAGAGATTTTAAACTTTAAGAGAATCACAATTAGCCTCATCTTCTCTCTCTTTGACTTTGGAAGAGTACAAGAGATTTCATGAAAAACTTGAACAGTGTTATAGAGAAAACTGGCCTGTACTTTCCAGGTCTGGATAGTTATTAACTGCGGAGGGAGGAGGACGAGGAAGAATATGTGATGTAAAAGAGGCTCCAGAGCAGACGATTAAAGACTATGTTAGCATCTAGGTTCATGTAAGCATTGAGGTAAGGATCCTGAAGCTGAATCCAGCCTCTGTACCCTGACACTAAGAATTAAAATGTCAGAGGCAGGGTTTTGGGTGAAGTAGAAAAGAATAGCTTTATTGGTTTGCCGGGCAAAGGGGGGCACAGTGGGCTCGTGCCTCTCAAAATTGTGTGTCCCAACCTGGAGGGGGTAGTGAGGAGTTTTATAGTAATGGTTCAAAGAGGGCATGATCATCTCGTAGACATTCTTCTGATTGGTTGGTGGTGAGGTGATTGACCAGCATCATCAACCTTCTGGTTGCAATCAGTCTGGGGTCTATATGCATACTGTATACTTCTCCCACCTGGTGGAGGTTTCAGTACCTGCCAACAGCTCAAAGATATGTATATCCCTTGAGGGGGAACCAGGACCCTGCCCCAAGGCTGCACTATTCTCTCTTCCTTCCTTTTCTTTCTTTCTTTATTCCTTCCTTCCCTCCTTTCTTTCCTTCTGGCTGTGTTGGGTCTTCGTTGCTGTGCGAGGGCTTTCTCTAGTTGCAGCGAGCAGGGGCTACTCTTTTGTTGCGGTGTGTGGGCTTCTCGTTGCGATGGTTGGTCTTGTTGCGGAGCATGGGCTCTAGGCACACGGGCTTCAGTAGTTGCGGCACGTGGGCTCAGTAGTTGTGGTGCACGGGCTTAGTTGCTCCACGGCATGTGGGATCTTCCTGGACTAAGGATCGAACCCGTGGCAGGCGGATTCTTAACCACTGCGCCACCAGAGAAGTCCCTGCACTATTGTTTCTTTTGACTGTTCCTCCCTTGTCTCCATATTGCCTCCCTTCCCTGATTAGCAGCTGTTTGAACCTGCCCTTTGGAACTCAGGGGAGGTCATGGAGGCTTAATGAAGACTGTTTCCTACAAACAAGAAATGGGAGACACAGAAAAACTTTTCTACCCAGGAGCCCCACAGGGTCCTGCTTGGTTTCTGTCCACTGGGGAATTTTGTTCATCACAGAATTGTTCCTTTAACAGTGCCTGTCCATAATAGGAGCTTGGTAAGTATCTGTTGAATGAGGGACTCAAGGAAGTCAGTGCAAATGCAAACTTGATCTATTTGTGAGGGTGGCAGTCTCATTGAGGAAGGTAACATTAACTTTCCTATTTGCCTGATAAGATGATTCAGAGAAATAGATGGTTAAGAGTGATAGTAATAGTAAATATCAGATAATATTTATATTCATCTTCAAGGAACAGAATACCGAAAAACTAGTAGCTTAAATAAGGAAAAAGTGTATTTTCCTCATGTAATGAAAAGTTTGGAGATGGTTAGGAAGTCTAGCGCTGGTGTGGTGACCCAGAGATGCTATTAGGGACCTGGGCTCCTTCTGTTTTTTGTTCTTCACCAGCCATTCTTTGCATTTATGTTTGTCAAAATGGACACAAGATGGCTGTTCTATGTCCCTGCATGTTCTATGTCTTCCTTCCAGCCAGGAAGAACAGGGAAGGGCAAGAGTGGTTGAGTCTATTCCATTTTTATCAGGGAAACAGTGGCTTTTCCAGAAGCCCCACCCACTAGACTTCTACTTCCATCTCATTGGCCAGAACTAGTTCACATGCTAATTCCTAACTGCAAGGGAGTCTGGGAAAGATGTTTGTCAGCCACCCTGGACAAAATGTGAATTCTGTTTGTAAAGAAGAGGTTTTGTTAGTAAAGAGGAGCTTGGCACAGAATTCCAAGCCCTAATTCCACAATTAAAGGGAATGGACTTGCCAGGTCCTTTCTAGTGAATTTGAGTCAGTGTGGCAACCCCGTTCTCGTCTGAATGACTTGACTTGCAATCCGATGAAGAGCAGCATGGAGCTTCAGTGAAACAGTGTCTGTTCATCACCACCTGGGAACTGGGTTTTAGTGTCTGCTGAAGGTCATGTGGTGTGGCCAGTAAGTCCCCAGGAGTCTGAGAGATGGCATTGCCAAGTGAGACAAAATCAAATACAGCTGTGGCTGTGGCTGCTTTTATTCGCTGTGAACCTAGTACTTACTGCAGACATCACATTTGGCCAAAGGAAGATAAACCTGAGTGTCATGCCGAGCCCAGTGGAGCCATTCCAGACCTGGCTGAATTTCGCCAAGTTCTAGAATGCAGCCGACCAAGTGAGAGAAATGGTGTGCACACACAAAGCTCTCTGTAAATGGTAACTGTGGTTATTATCATTTAATGGGTAATATTGACCCAGTGAGAAATCTGATGCATTGTAGGATGGAGTTACATTAGAGTAACTAAGAAAGATATAAAATATGCATGGTGAGGAGGTTTGCTAACATATAATTTTGTGTGCAAGTGGAGAGAGTGGAAGGAGAGAGCTGAGGTTGGAGAGGATTTAGGATTCTTCTAAATGTGAAGAGAAACCATTGGGGTGAGGAGAACAGGGGGAGTGACCAGATTTCTGTTTTGGAGAGATCTCTCTGTAGAACTGAGACTAGATGGAGAGAGGAATTGTGGAAGCAGAGAGACAGAGGTTATGTCAGTACTGCCGGTGAGAAACCATGGTGGCTTGGACCGCAGTGCTTGTGGCCGAAGTGGTGAAGAATGGTCAGATTTTGGATGAGTATTGTTTGTTTGTTTGTTTTTGGCTGTGCTACGCAGCTTGTGGGATCTTAGTTCCCTGACCAGGGGTCGAACCTGGGGCCCCTGCAGTGGAAGTGTGGAATCCTAACCACTGGACCACCAGGGAATTCCCTTGGATGTATATTTTGAAGGTCGAACAGACAGGGCTAACAGATGTATTTTATGTGAGACTCGAGAGAAAGAGAGTAGGCAAACATGTCTCTTGAACAGCTGGAATGATGGAGTTGCCATTTCCTGAGTGGGAGACAACTGCAGGAGGGACAGGTTTGGGTGCAAGTGATGGGATGAGTAGTTTTTGGACAAGTTTGAGAGGCTTATTAGACACCCAAGTAGGGACTTAACTAGGTAATTGGAAATTTGAGTCCAAAGGTCAGGATTGAAGGTAGGGCTGGAGAATTGCATTTTAAAGTCCTTATTGTATAGATGGGATTTAAAGCCATGGTGCTGGATGGGCTCATGGAGGGAATATGTATAAACAGAGAAGAGAAGAGATTCAAGAACAGGATCCTGGGATAATGAGAAGGAGCAGCCCGCGAGGAAAGGGGAAACCAGATGTGATGTCTAGGAATCGAAGTGGAGAAAAAGCCCAATAAAGGTCGAAAGGGGGAGTGAGGTGAGCATGATCTCTGCGTTGGCATTGTGGGGTCCCTGGGGACGTTGACAAGACCAGTTCCAGTTGCGTGCAGGAGATGACAGCCTGGTTGAAGAAAAGAGTTGCGTGACTTCTCCAAGGTTCTGTGAGAAGACTCATGACACGATTTGCTTGCTGTGTAAAGGAGTTTGAATTTCATCATGAGGGCAGTAACGTTTTAGCAAGAAGAGTGACGTGGTCAGATTTGCATTATAGAAAGATCACCCTTGCTCTTCTATGGGGGAGGGGAGGTGAACTTGACAACAGCTGGTGGACGATGGTGGCCAGGCCAGTGGCAGTGGAGTTGGAGACTAAACCTGATTTGAAAGAAATTTAGGAGATGGAATCCATACCACTGAGGATGGATTGGAGGTGGGAGGTGGGAGAAAGGGAGTGGGTTCAAATCCTGGCTCTGCCACTTGGTTGCTCACTTGAGCAAGTCTCTTAATAGCTCTGTGCCTCAGTTTCCTCATCTGTAAAATGAGGCTAACAATAGTATCTACTTCATAAGGCTGTTCTAAGATTAAATGAATTGATGTGTATCAAACGTTTAGCATAGAGCCTGATATATGGTAGCTATTGAGAACCATCAGTAGAACCTTTGGACATTTTAAATGTGCTTAACCCCTTACTAGGCATCCTTTTCTTGGGGACTGATTCCTTCTTCTTCGGCACTAAGATATGACATCCCTTCTGAGGAAGGCAGAATTAACCATTTGTAAGAGTCCATGGCTCAGATGACTCTCATTTTTGCCAAGAAAATGACATGATTCATATTTACTACTAGGTGTCATAGAAGCTATACGTTATTATTTTATATCATTAGTGAGACTCACATATCAAGAAACACTCTGGCTGAAAGGATTCACTCAGAAATAGGTGGGTATGATTGGCTGTCCTTGTGACTGACATGCAGTGACAGGTTTAATGGGACAACAGTTTTACACGCAGGTTGATTTGCATATATCATGCCTTCAATTTCCCCACAAATTTGCACACATATAAGGCACTTAGGTACACAATTACCCAATTAGTGGGTGTCATTTCCTAGTTGCGGGGGAAAATTGAGCCCTGAAATGGCTAAGCATGCACAATTTGCTTCCTTTTAGGAAAGGTGGCACTTCTGAGTTTCCTGGTAGAGTTAAAAGCATCTGACAGTGAAGGATTCCTTTCCTAACTGGATGATGGTGTCATTTCAGGCTAAGTATGGCAGTTAAGAAATTTAAGGAGCTATTAGATCTGGAGTTTCCACGTGGAGATTGTGGATATCTTACTAGACATCATATTAGAATTCCTGGTCCTGAGATGCACCACTGGACCATCAAGGAATTTTGTCTGCAGATGCTGATGTCTTTGCCTACTTTGGGAATCATCTTTTCCTGGGTGGGGGTAATAACACCTTCTCTCTGGCTTGTGTGTCTCCATTAATTGGGATACTCTGGCCTCAGAGGCTTTTTATCCAGCATGCCCTTGTGTATCACTCCACTGCTTCTGGCATTCAGATAGACCTAGGGAGCTCTCTAGTTTTGTCCAGCATAAAAGGAGCTCCTTGGTGGGACCAGGATGTAATACTGAACTTGGAATTTTGAATCTGACCCAGATCCCAGTTTGATGGGAAGTCATTGGAGATTCCTGTGGAGTTGCTTGCTAAAAGAACCAACCTTTCTTTCTTCTGTTACTGAACCAGACTTGGGTCTGCTCAACCATGCACAGTAAAGCCAATCTACTGACACAAGGTTGTGGTGAAGGAAAGTGCAGCATTTATTGCAAGGCACCAAACAAGGAGTGTGGGATAGCTAGTGCTCAAAAAGCCCAAACTTCCCGATGGGTTTCAGGGAGGCATTTTTAAAGGCCAGGTGAGGAAGGGGCACCCAGGGTATGTGATCAGCTCATGCACAATTCTCTGATTTGTAGATGGTGAGGGAACAGGGTCGTGTCACAGGGGTTAATGTTATCAATCCTTAGGCCCCAGGAGGCCTGGGGGCTATGTGCTCGTGGTCATCAAGTAGTTAACATCTTCCATTTGGTGGGGGTTTTAGCATCTGTAAAACAACTCAGGAAATGTGCATCAGATACTGTTATCTAGGGACTTCAGAGAAGAGCTACAGCAGAGGATATGGGGGAGGCTAACTCCCATAGGGTCCTTCTCAGTTACTTGGTTATCCTCCCTCCATCCATCCCTCCCTCCCTCCCTCTTTTTTTTTTTTTCTTTCACATCTTTTAAAATTTTTTAACATCTTTATTGGAGTATAATTGCTTTACAGTGTTGTGTTAGTTTCTGCTATATAACAGAGTGAATCAGCTGTATGCATACATATATCCCTATATCCCCTTCCTCTTGCATCTCCCTCCCACCCTCCCTATCCCACCCCTCTAGGTGGTCACAAAGCACCGAGCTGATCTCCCTGTGCTATGCAGCTACTTCCCACTAGCCATCTATTTTACATTTGGCAGTGTATATATGTCATTGCTACTCTCTCACTTCCTCCCAGGTTCCCCTCCCCCAACCAGTGTCCTCAAGTCCATTTTCTACGTCTGTGTCTTTTCCTATCTTCCTTCCTTCCTGTTTATTAAAAGAAACCCAATAAAATTGAGCAGAAGACTTAACAGATACTACACAAAGGAAGATACACAAATGGCCAATAAGCATAGGAAAAAATTCTAAGCATTATTAATCATCAGATAAATGCAAGCCAAAATCACAGTGAGATACCACTCTACCCTCCAGAATGATGAACAACCCCAAATGCTGGTGAAAATGTGAGGCATCTGGAATTCTCTTATATAGCTGGTGTGAGTGTAATAAGCTACATCCACTTTAAAAATGATTTGGCAGTTTCTTAAATAGTTAAACATATAACTAGCCTATGACTTGGCAATTCCATTTCTAAATTTTAGCTGAGATCAATGAAAACATATGTTGACAAAAAGGCATGTACAAAAATTAAAAATATTCATAGAATCTTTATTAATCATGGGCCCAAACTGGGAACAACCCAGGTGTCTATCAAAAGATGAATAGATAAACAAAATAAAATATATCCAGGGAGTTCCCTGGCAGTGCAGTGGTTAAGATGCCACACTTTCACTGCCAAGGTCTCGGGTTCAATCCCTGGTCAGGGAACTAGGATCCCACAAGCCCTGTGGTGCAGCCAAAAAAATATATATATATATATATCCATCAATGGGATACTACTCAGGAAATAAAAGAGCTGAATGAACGATCCATGCAACAACACAAAAACATGGAATGATTCTATTTCTATGAAGTTCTAAAACAGGGACAACTAGCCAGATGTGAAAAACCAGAAAAGCAGTTGCTTCTAGGAGAGGGGATGGGATTGAAAGTGAGGGATACAAGGGAGTTTTATGGAGTGATAATAACGTAATATTTATAATATTCTATGTCTTGCTACAGGTGTGGGTTACATGGGTGTATGCATTTGTTAAAACTGATTTAAACAAAGATCCTTGCATTTCATTGTATGAAAATTATACCTCCATAAAAACAAAAACACACAAAAGGGAGTTTTCTTGAGCCTATGAAAATGATACATATGAGTTATTTAAAACTTGAACACTATGGAGAGGTGAGATTTAAAAATATATCTACACATACTCATACACAGGGAGGAGTCTTAACTAAGACAGGTTGGGTTTAAATTTCCATTCTACTCCCTGTAAGCTGTATGTCCTTGGGTATTGTATTTAACTTCTCAGAACTCAGTTTCTTAGTATCTAAAATGAGGATAGTAATTGTAATAGATAAGTAATAGTAGTAGGTACTACAGGGTTTGGGGGAGGGATTAAATGAGAAAACGTAAAGTGCTTGGAATAGAGTAAGCATTCAATAATTTTTAGTATGGCTTATCCACTTATTAGTATTTACTGAGTGCTAAATATATGTCAGGCACTGGTGATAAAATGGTGAGCAAAACCTAGACACAGTTCTGTCTTCATTTAGTCTAGTTGGGGAGATGGAAATTAGTGAAATCACACAAATAAAAATAAAATCATTTTTGTGATAAGTGCAAAGAAAAACTAGTGCTATGAAAGCATATAATGATGGACTCTGACTTGATTTGGGTGGTCAGGGAAGGGTTCCCTGAAGAAGTGATGTCAAACTGAGATCTAGAGGATAATTAGGATAATAATACAGGTGAAGGGTCATGCAGTTCAGCTGGGATTTTGGAGGCACTAATGAAGATGGCCGAAGATGAGGTGAAGGAGGCATAGTTAGCTCTGTGCAGGGTTTGTTAGAAATGATGAAGCAGCATCCTGAGAACAGGAAGGAAAAGAAGATGGTGATTTGAGAAGTGTGGAAGGATAAGGTTTGCCCTGAATTACCACGGCTAAACCAGGATCATGATCATGCCTTCCAGGTTTCACCTCCTTTCTACCAAAGTGGTTTGATTTGTGTACTAATCAGGTAATATTAGCAGCTGTAACATAGAGTCCCTGAAATCTCAGTGGTT